TTCAGCAGCGGGCCCACGTTTTCCCTAGTCTTCCTTTTGCTATTGATGTATTTGAAGAAGGCCTTCTTGTTGTCCTTGACATCCCTTGCCAGGTTTAATTCCAACTGGGCCTTAGCCTTTCTTGTCGCATCCCTGCACGCTCTGACAACGTCCCTGTATTCCTCCCAAGTGGCCTGTCCCCTTTTCCACATTCTGTGTACTTCCTTCTTCTGCTGGAGTTTTGCCAGGAGTTCCTTGCTCATCCAGGCAGGTCTCCTGCCCGCTTTGCTGCACTTCTTCCTCAGAGGGATGCACCCATCTTGAGCCTGGAGGAAGTGACGCTTGAATATTAACCAGCTTTCTTGGACCCCTCTTCCTTCTAGGGCCCTACCCCATGAGATTCCTCCCAGTAGGTCCCTAGAGGCCAAAGTCAGCTCTCCTCAAGTCCAGGGTTCAGATCCTACTCATTGCCCTGCTCCCTCCTCGTAGGATCCTGAACTCCACCATCTCATGGTCACTGCAGCCAAGGCTGCCCCCAACCTTCACCTCTCCAACTAGACCTTCTTTGTTCGTTAGTACAAGGTCTAGCATTGCACCTCTCCTCGTTGGCGTCTCCACCACCTGTATCAAGAAGTTATCCTCAATGCTCTGCAGGAACCTCTTTGACTGTTTGTGCCTAGCGGTGCTGTCTTCCCAGCAGATGTCAGGGTGGTTGAAGTAAATAGGGGTCACAAAGCTCATGGTGGGGTTGGGTGTGGGGGCATGTTTAATTGTCTGTATGGCCTAGAGGGTCAGGGTTAGTATCTGGATGCAGAGGCTGCTATTTCATTTTTAAAAAGTACTTTCTCCATACAATTCATATAATTAATGCATGTGCATGGTGCTCTGATATAAGCCCTTTTTTGTGGAATAGGATAATCTAAGGTTAAGAGAGCAGGACCACTTGAGATGTACTTTTTTAGAGCTTATGTTTGTTTATAGCGCACGATAGTTCTGTATTGTCCTTTACTGAATTAAGGTTGAAGGGGCAGAAGCCAGTTTAAGGGGTTGGCAGCCAGTTAGTTAGGAGATGTTGAGTTGTGCATGTGTAGGATTATTGTCCTAGTTTGTATGACAGCTTTTCAGCTAGCTGCCTGAAGTTGGCAGATTTCTGTCTGGTTTCTTTTCTGGGGATGACTCTGCCACAGCTGATTTCCCCAACAGGTAAGCGAGTCTGTGAATGTTTGCAGGGATGACTATCTCTTTTGTACACCCTCTAAATCCATACTGTCTTTGCTTTGGTACATACTTTTAGGAAGTGATTTTTCTGGTTTTTGGAAAAGTAGAGACTGACGCATCTTTGTTCATCTGTGCTAGGTTTATTATCTCTGAGTATTACATTCAGGGTCATTGTGGAGGTACAGGAGACAGTTGAACCAAAACAGTTTATGCTCCTGCAGGAGGAAGAAGCCCTGCTCTCAGAAATGGATGTCACAGGCCAAGCCTTTGAAGACATGCAGGAGCAGAACATCCGCCTGATGCAGCAGCTGCGGGAGAAAGATGATGCCAACTTCAAGCTGATGTCAGAACGCATCAAATCCAACCAGATCCACAAGCTGCTGAAGGAAGAAAAGGAGGAATTGGCAGACCAAGTTTTGACACTGAAGACACAGGTAACCTAGGAGGAGGAGAGAGGACAACAGAACTGATGGGAAGGTGGAGGGAATGTTTCCCTGATCAGCCTAGGTATGCTACATCAGACTTCAAAGGCATCCTTCTTAGTAAACAACAAAGAGACTGCATATGAGCATAAAATGTCCTGCAGGTTCACTGTTGTGTAGAGCAGGAAGAAGGAGGGAAATGGGAAGACATGTTCCTGCAGTGACAGTATTTTTGGGATGTATTTTCTGCCGTTCTTGGAACTAAGGCCTAGGAACAATTTCCTAAGCTATCTTTCAGAAAATAAATTAAATCATAGTTGTGAGTATTTGACTGCTAGAGTTTAAAGATTTCACCAGAGAGGTCTAGAAAAAAAGATTTTAAGCTGCCAGTATATCTGCATCAAGGGAGAGAAGGATAAACTGAAGAGATGCCCCTTGGTGACAGGGAGGGAGAGAGAGTTTTAGCTTATAGCTTTCATGATGGCTCTGAGGACCTGCAGATCATGCATATCATTCCTCCTGTCCTTCCCTCTATCGCCTTCCAAGGTGGATGCTCAGCTACAAGTTGTACGTAAGCTGGAAGAAAAGGAACACTTACTGCAAAGCAGTATTGGAACAGGAGAGAAGGAACTAGGTCTTCGAACACAGGCCCTGGAAATGAACAAACGCAAGGTGAGTGATTGGATTTTTTTTCCACTACGATCATAAGGTGGAGCTGTTGTCTTGTTGCTAGCATAGAAGGTGTCTAGTTGTCACTGGTGTTATGGATCCCGGTATTCCCTATTTTTGGACTAGTTTGTCAGAAGGCTGAGGAGTTCTAAGTGTTTTAATTAAGGTATGATAGACTGATAGTTCCTTTCATAAAGAGGAACTGAGCATAGATGTGTCTTTCTGACAGTCTGATGAGGGAGCTGGCATAAGGTTCTGGTGAAAGGAAACCTACACTGGAAGCGGAAGAAGAGGCAGCAGCCAGGGGAAGGTAACCAGGGTTAGTTAGAGTTTGCATAGCTCTAACTCATCATGAAGAGATGAGGAAAATACAAAAGTAAAATGAGCTCATTTAACAAATGTATAAGGTAGTTAAAGAGAATAGTAGAACTTGGCATCTTTGAGTCCTATTAGAAGCATAGGAATGACATTGAAACAGACAGAAGAGAAGACAGAAATATCACTGTGAAGAAATGAGGGAGTTCAGTGCAATCATTTGAGCTGGATATCACAATCTCTAGTGCTGAAGAAACTTGGCTAATAAGTTTATTGGTGCAGTGGCAGTTACAAAATGGTAGGAGAACTGGTGAAAAAGAAAATGATGTGCCAAATTAAAAAAAAAAAAAAGAAAAAACAAAAGAAATAGTTAAAAATACAAAAATAAAATGATGTGCTGTATTTAAAAAAATAAAAATAAAAGCTTATCTTGAGGTTCTATTTAAATTAGTTATACAGCTGCCTCTAAACAATTGAGAAAATGTAGAAGGTGGAAGACTGAAAATACTTGAATGAGAAAAGTATTGTACGTGGGCATTAGTCTTTTTCTAAGTGAGATGAATTGTAGTGCCACAAGAGTTAGTTTTAACGGAGTGAAGGGGAATTTTCAAGCTAAATGATTACAACTTGGTGGTAGTAAGATATTTTGTTACTGAAGTAATGTTTAGGGAATAATTCCAGTTCTTCTGATGGAAACTACCAAAATTTGACTGCTTACAAGAGCCTTTCTAGGGCTGCTGATAGCTACTTTTTCAGTCTTACATTGCCAGATAAGGGCGCTGGAAATCATCAGGACTTCTTTTCTCGGTCTGGTTTCCTTTTTCAGGCCATGGATGCAGCTCAGCTTGCAGATGATCTGAAAGCCCAGCTAGAACTGGCTCAGAAGAAGTTACATGACTTTCAGGATGAGATTGTGGAAAGCAGAGTAACTAGAGAGAAAGAAATGTTCAACTTCAAAAGGGCTGAGGTATATGTCTCACTTGCAGTCCTATAATTTCTATCTCCCCTGGTGTCTGCCTCCTTATGCATTCAGCTTGGAATGGGTTCCAATTATGTGAATTTCTTCACTGTCTCCTTGTTAGAAGTGTTTTTTTTCCAGTTTCACTTTTGCTTCAGCTTCATTAGGCCTTAGTTATTTCAGATTTTGGCCACAGATAACTGACAATACACATGACACTAGAGGATGATGTATTCTATCATAAGTCTATTGGACAATGCAGGGAGAAAAGTGAGTGGAATGACTTAGTCAGGCATGGTGTTGGCTACAGGTGCTAGTTCTGTTTAGTCCTTGAGAAAGCAGTGAGAGAGAGGACTCTATTCATTTGCTTGATCTCCTGTTTTTATGGCAGGAAGACATTTCTAGGCTTTGCAGGAAGCTAGAGACCACTAAGAAGCCTGATATGGTGCCCAACTGTGATGAAATATTGATGGAAGAGATCAAGGATTACAAAGTGAGTACCCATCTCCATCAACCTGCCTCTTTAATTCTGTTTTAACCAAAAGGCTGTGTACCTGTTTTTTCAGTATTTCACATCCCTTGTCTGGATTCTGGCACTGTAGACCTGTTGTACTTAAAAAAACAACAACAACAAAAACAAAACAAAAACCCACCTTTTCTTTATGAAGAATGGTTAAGACCTTTATCTTCTGTCGTCTTTAAACTTACCCAGTGCTGTGCAGTTGGCCTTCACTATAGCATTTATGTCTTGCAGGCCCGCCTGACCTGCCCGTGCTGTAACATGCGCAAAAAGGACGCTGTGCTCACGAAGTGCTTTCATGTCTTCTGTTTTGAGTGTGTTAAGACACGCTATGACACCCGGCAGCGTAAGTGCCCCAAGTGCAATGCTGCATTTGGTGCCAATGACTTCCATAGGATCTACATCGGTTGACTTTTTACACTGGAGTGACGGAAAGGTGCCACTTATGCTGACCACCCAGCTTCCCACATTTTCTCTGATTGTCACCTTTGGGGCAGTCAATGCTTTTGTCAGATGACCTGCAGTATCTTCTAGGAAGTATGGTTAGAGAAGGGAAAGGAACAGACTGTGGGTATTAGTTCCTTCCCTATCCCTTTTCTTTTATTCCTGCCCTCAGCTTTTGTGAATTTTTTTATTCCTGCCCTCAGCTTTTGTGAATTCACTGTGTCTCAGAGGCCATTTCCCGTCTGTTCTTTCACACTACCAAGTTCGGAACATCTATCTCAAGTCCTATCTTGAGGAGATGGGAACTGTCCATGGTGCAACACAGATAAACGACGCCTTTATTTTAGGAGTTTACTTTGGATATTCAGTAAATCCCATCAAGGTACGCTAGGGTTTCTGAAAGTGAATAGCTTCCCAGTTGAAGGACCAAATAAGGAGTTAATTAGCACATCTGTAGGCTTCAGATCTGTAGGCAATGACTCCATGGGCATGTATCTTCCTGAGTCAGGACAAGAATCTGTGAAGGCTGGGCAGTAGAAAACACCCTTCCTACCCCGCAAAGCATATGCACATCTTGTTATCCAGAAGAGGAGAAAGATAAGTCATAGGAAAATCTTTAAGAATAGTATTGCACTGACAAACCCCAGTTGATACGGAAATTTTTGCTTTGAGTTGAGGCATTGTTGTCATTATCCTTACGTTTCAGAAAAGAATTTGAAGGGGTTACTTTGGTGTAGCTTTGCCACAGAAATTAACCTTGTAATGCACAAACTTTAATAAAAGCTGTGGTCTGGATAATCTTTTCTATTTTGCTTACTTTTGCTGGTATCTAATTGTGGTTGCATCCTTCGTCCAATCAGTAGAAACATTTTTTCAGAAATTTTAATCTTTTAAAGCAGGCAGATGAATTTCTTATTCCCTTTTTCTTCACGAAATAGTTAATTAGTATAACCTTTGTCCTTTTGATTGTACTTTGCTACCTTATTCCTACAGAAAGGCCATGCTGCTGCATTATTTAAACAGCCGTTTTGTCATGGCTGCTGAGAACTCCATGAAACAAAATGGCATTATTTTAAACTGTGTGTTCCTTGTACTGCAGGGCCATATTTGCTTCTAAACATAAAAAGCTAAATCATTTATGTTAGTGCAGCTAACAGAGGCAGTGAACAGATGCAGCAGTTTGCACAGCAGTGCCTGGGCTCTGCTTGGGCCTTTTGTGGGCCTTGCTGGAAGTTGTGGAGGCTTTCTGCAGACCCCTGAGGAACTAGATGATGCTTGCTGCTAGCAGGAAAGGAGAGCTAGGCAAGGACATCTGCAGGAGGCCTTAACTTCTGGGAAGCTGTAGCTAGGTGTGGCTGCTGCTAACAAGCTCCCTTGGTTGTCCCTGATCAGAGGGAGTTGGGGCCTTTGATCCAGGTGGCCTTTCATTGGGGTGGTTCAAGCACCCTGTGAGTCACTGTTAGGCAGAGGCCTATATAAGAGGCAGGCCTAGGCCACAGCTAACAGAGGCAGCAGTTTGCACAGAAGGGTGCCAGAAGGCAGGAAGGCACCTTCATTTCTCATAGTAGTGTATGCTTTCTCAGGCATGGTCATGACACGCTGCAGAGGACGTTTTCCCCAGTGGCTGTTTGAGTTGCTGCATCAGCTGTGTCTGAAGGTTCAACCCAGACAGACCCTCTGACAGCAGATGCAGTTCTTCAGGTGTCAGGCTGCAGGGAGTGCTTGGAGGGAGGCCTCTCCATGAGGCCTGGGCTGAAGGTCAGCTCTCCTGTGCAAGGTGTGCTGTGGCTGATCAGTTGTATCACCAGGTGAAGGAGTTACGGGAGGAAGTTAGTAGGCTGTGCAGCATCTGAGAAGATAAGCAGGAGATAGACAGGGTACTCTGGGAGACCATGCAGCTCCAGGAGTCCCCACCCCCAACTGCAATGGAGTTGCGGGAGGGCTCTGTACCGTGTGAAACACCTCCAGAGTCCACAAGGAAACACCACAAGGAAACACGGGAATGGATGAGCTGATTATTTTGTCGGAAGCTTCCTTGGAAATGGTTGCTGGGGTTGCTGGGGACGCCCTATTTCTCCTAGGCAGAAAGAATGCTCTCTTTGGTCCGTCCTTTGTGACGTGAGCAACTCCCAGTGCACTGCAGGAGGGGCTCGATCCCCAGGAAATCTGAGAAAGGCGCCTCCCACCAGCTGCAAGATGATCCCATTCCACTGCCAATCCCCACAGAGAACGCGGGCTGCCAAAGAGGCAACTGCCCTCTTTTGGCCTTTCCTTCCTTCAGCTGCTCACACAGCACACAGGAGCTGTGCGCACACCTGCGACTACGGCGTCGCCGTAGAGGACGCAAAGCAGACTTTTTGCCAGGCGTACCACTTTGGGTCACCGAGACACGCAGTTGCCACAAGGAAACGGCTGCCCTGTACTTGGTGCCTAAGCTGTTTGCCAGACGTGGCACACGGGCGACGTGCAGCAGCTGCAATGCAGTGGGGCCGCAGCCTGCGACTGTGCTTCCTGCCACCCTCCGCAATGGCCCCGAGGCCTTCCCTGGTGCCAGCTGGGAGTGCGAGCCGTGGGCTCGGAGCTGTTGGAGGGAGACAAGCGGGAAGAGATGATGGCACAGGGAAGACAAGCGCACAGGAGGTGTGCTGCTGCTGCAGAGCTGTGTGGCCAAGTGAGGAGTTACGGGAGGAAGTCAGCAGGCCGCGCGGCATCCGAGCGGGCGACACAGAGCTAGACGGCACCTTGTCGGAAGGCCTCGAGCTGCAGAGCGCCAACTTGCCAGTGCAGGGCAGGCGCAGGGGGACTGTGTGCCTCGTTGGGAGGCGAGGGACGGCCCGCTGCCGTGCAGTGAGTGGGGTGGGGCCCCGAGGAAGGCAGGTGCGTGGGTGCTGGCCACCGTGCCTTTGGACAGCAGCATCTGCCCTAACAGCCAGCTAGGCAAGCGCAAGAAGCACGGCCTACCTGAGTGCGCGCTCAGGTGGCCTGGCAACCGGCTGCACTGCCAGGCTCACAGGGCTGGGCTCAGCAGCCCAGCGTGCAGGGGGAGGCCACTGGCTGCTGCTGTGCCCCAGGGCTGCGTGCCGGGGCCAAGGCTGTTTTGCGGCTTCCTGAGCGAGCAGGCTGATAGGGCCCAGGGCAGCCCCAGCAAGTTGCTATGGAGGCTAGAGAGCGGGGAGGGCTGGCTGATGCAGCCGAGGGTGGTGCTGCCATTCCGAGGGCCCTGGCCAGGCTGGCCACATGGGCAGGGAGGCACCCCC